GAACAAACTGAAGGAGTTGCCATGGGATCACCAATATCCCCAGTGGTAGCAGATATATTCATGAAAAAGTGGGAAAGCATAGCGATTGAAACGTTCACCCTCACCCCAAAAGTATGGTAAAGGTATGTAAATGACACATTCACTGTACTTATAACACAAGATATAGATAGGTTTTTCGAACACATCAACTGGAAGGTTGAAGCAATTCAATTCACTTGTGAATTGGAAAATCAGGAAGAGGAGCTCCCAATGTTAGATTGCAACGTAAAGAGGAAAGAAGATGGGAAGTTAAACACTAGTGTTTACAGGAAACCCACACACTCAGACAGATATTTGGACTTCCAATCATCCCATCCTATGTCAGTAAAAATAGGATTGGTGAAATGTTTAAATAACAGAGCACAAAAATTAAGTAGTACCAAAGAAAATCTAAAACAAGAACTGACACATATAAAAGAAGCTTTGAAACTTAATAATTACCCGGATAAATTAGTCAGGAAATATGTAAGGAAATGTAAAAATAAAGTAAATAATGATAATAGCGATAGTGATAATAACAATAATAATGTTATGATAATAGTGATAATAATAATAATATTGTGACGACACCAGCAATAAAGAATCTAAATCATCAGTAGTAATTCCATACAAGGAAGGAACCCTGGAAGCCTTACGCAGAATTCTCAACAAGGCAGGAATAAAAACGGCATTCAAACCCACAAACTCAATTAGAAACAAGCTTCGTCGGCTAAAGGATCCTATAGAGACTGTAAAACAAAACAATTTAGTTTATCTAATACCCTGTAATGATTGTCAGGTCAAATACATAGGTCAGACCAGTAGAACAGGGGCAGTCAGACTAGGTGAACATAAAAACCTAGCAAAATCTAGTTTGGTTGACCCGAATAAGATAAGAAACCTGGAGAATAGTTCAGCTATAGCACTACATGCAGTTACACACAACCATACAATAGGATGGGATAGGATGACAGTTTTAAAATCTAATGTAACAGCATGGTGGAGGGAGAGATTGATAACAGAAGCTTTGTTTATCGAATCAACTGCAAACACATGTAATAGGAATGATTCATCACCTGTCCCAGACATCTGGAAAATTCTACTACCCCTACGACAAATAGGAGAAAACAAAGAAAACTGTAAAACTCAAGTGTCAAAGTCGTGTGATTACAATTGATATGATTATGAACAATAGTAGATTGTGTTCGAAACTTTGTCATCCAGTAAACAATACTGTTTCACTGTGTGATACATCTAATAAACAAATTAATATGGAATTACTTACTACCACAGTGCCCAAGTTTTACACATATATTAATAGAAGCCTACATTTCAACCTGAGGCCAAGTATATCGATCCAATCAATTGACGGGAAAATCTAAAATTGACTTAAACAAGTAATATGACCCATTGCACAAGAGGCAGTGGCTCTCGTAGCCCAAGTGATCTAGTGGAAAGCACTTTGACGTTTGAAACTATGAGCAGTTGGTTTGAGCCTCAGTGAAGACATCATCACTCAATGCAGAATGCACCCACTAGAAGGGTTCGAACGCAGGACTTTGTGGTTACAAGGCAAGCTCGCATACCATTCAGCCACTGGGACCCGATTCAATAGCCATCACATGAATTCTAACTTCTAACAATTCGTGATTTAGCGCGACCATCAACCAACATTGCAAAACAAAATTGATTGAGAATAACAAGTTGAACGAGTGAAATAATACCGCGGACAGTTCAAAGTGACAATAGTAATACTAACAATTGACGTAATAAAGGAAGAGTACCCAAAGTGAAAAAATAAAACGAAAAATAGGTAGAGCGAAAATATGATTAGGGATTACCATACTTTAGAATAGAAGGTTTAATACCATGAAAGTTGGATGGGCTGGACAAACGTCTTCTGTATACAGAGATCTAGATTTTCTGTTTCGATATCCAAAGCTTCAGCAATGCAGATTAGTAGGAGCCTTAGTGATTTGGGCAAATTACTTTTCGTTTTGATAGAAGAATTGAACCTGTGGGTAAAATTTATTTTGATAAAGTTTCACAGTGTTATACAGTAATATTTACTGTATTTCGAGCACAATTTATTGCTCATAATCATATCAAGGTACTCAATAGGGTAGGAAAGGGTTAGAATTGTCAAAAGTAGTTGGAAAAAGAGAGAGTTCGATTACTGAATTCTGGTTCATCGAGTCTACACCCAACACATGCAATAGGAATAACTCCTCACTCATGCTGGAAATATGGAAAATACTACTACAGATCAAATCAAGCGATGGAAAATAATGATGGAATTAGATAAAGGAAGTTAGAAAGTTGTGTGAGTAGTGTCTTGATATGATTATGAGCTGCAGCAATAAATTCTGCTCGAAACGTGGTCATCAGTAAATATTACTGTATAACACTGTGAGACTTTATCAAAATAAATTTTACCCATAATTGAATTATACTCTACCACAGTGCACGAGTTTTATTCTTATATCAGGATATGGATTAGTATTGTAGCAATTCCTTATTGCACAGAAATGATCATGACATAAGAGTGTATTTCCATGCAATGAATACCATACACTCATCACCATTGAAGGTTAGGGATAAAACAGAATAAGACAACCAGGAAAATTGCGTGTACCAGATATGTTTTTGAGATTGTGAGGCTGTATATATATATGTGAGAAACTTCCAGACAGGGGAACATAAGGGGAAAGGAGCATAAACAATGTCTAAAGGTGATTCCCAACACCTTTGTGGATTTTAAGAAGCTAGAGAACAGATTGACCAATGCACCACACTCGACAGAAACTGGACACAGGGTCGACTCTGATAGGCCAGACAATATGGAAAATACTACTACCAGTCAAGTCAAGCGATGCAAAATAATAATTGAATTATATAAATGAAGTTAGAAAGTTGCGTGATATGATTATGAGCAGTAATAAATTGTGCTTGAAACGTCATCAGTAAATATCACTGCATAACACTGTGAGACTTATCAAAATAAATTTTATCCACAATGGAATTTCTTTTCGCCTGGTAGATGACTTTAAAGGCTAAGGCTGTAGAGACAGGGTGATCATTATTGACTATTACATTAGTATGTCACCATTTTGTCTGTTCACACTTTATCTTATGTTCTCAATGACTGCACATTTTTATATACGTTCATTTGAACTATCACTCCCCATTAAATATGTACCCCAATACAGTTTCCGACATAATTTTCACATGCCTTTGATAGCTATTTGTATCATAATATTCACAGCTTTATAACTCTAGAACCCGAAGAAGAATTCATTGAAAACAATTGTTCGCTCACAAAATCATCTTGTTCTGATATCATCAGGTTTCAGCTGAAACCTCAGGATGTCATCCCTAAAATAGAAATAGCACTAAGTAGGATAGACAAAACAACGGCTGACGAAATACGGACACAATGTGCACTTACATTAAAACGACAAAAATGTGGAAAACCTAACCTGACAAAACAAGAGATTGAAGCCCTGAAACACCTTAAGAATAACAAGAATATAGTAATCACAAAGTCAGACAAAGGAAATGCAACAGTAGTATTAGACAAATCAGATTTGCCGAATGAGATCTATGTAAATATAATTTTTACGTATATCTACTTTTCATCATTAAGAGCCCAATTATTGTGGAACTGTTCAGTCAAATCTTGACCCGATTTCGTTCAAGGCAAATGACAAAATTCCAACTTAAATATTACTATTCTCGGTTTCTGGGTCAACTTATATCAAAGAATATCTAATCAATCGTCTGATTTCGTTTTTTTGTACAGAAGCTACCTTAATTGGGAATAAACTTTCCACTTAAAAAAACCCACGAAGGCTACTCATTTGTTTCCAATATTTCATAAGGAAAAACAGTTTTTTGTTCAGCATAGGAAAATATTTTTCCATCAACTTCATTTTCAAGATGCATAGTCGTATTTATATTACGGAAAAAGGCATTAAGTGGCACTAAAATTGCCCCAGTTAACATACATATGATAAGAATAAAGACAATTAGTATGATTTTTAATGAGTTCAAGTTGAAATGGATGAATTACAGAATAACAAGGATAATTCAAATGGGGTTGAATGACCTGTCTCAAGAAGGTGTTTTCGCAAATGGGAGACTTCGTCACTCTATGCTCGCCTTTCATTAACCAAACTGGCTAGTGTTCAGATACGTGTCCAATGTAACCCACTCTACAGTAACACGTGAACGAGTAAATGCACAAAGAAGTGAACAAAAGCGACAGTTTGTCCTTAACGTATTGTCAAATTATATCTCGGCTGGATAACGCTAATTGTAAGTGAACCGTATAAAAAGAGCATTCAATACACTTGGGTAGATAACTAATAATCATTTCAGCAAAAGTGCCATCTTTGAATGTCAAACTTCTTCGACACTATGATTTGCCTAGGAGCAGTTTCTTTCTCCATGTTTCAGTCACTTAAGTGCGTTATGCGAAGTCTTTCCAATTCCTTATTGACTGTATCTATAAAGCAAATCTGCCGAATTCTTGAGCATAGAGAATGGATAAGATTTCTCTTTCTATCTAGAGGTACTCAACCGTTGAAGTTAGTGTGGTGTAAAGGATGACTTTCGGTAGTTCAGTCTTTTCAATGTGCCATCCTCTCTTCTCTCTATAGCCTTACATCGAAGAGGTGAAATGTGGAATTTTTCTCTCTTCTTCAGTGGTGAAAACACAGCCTTTTTTCTCTGGAGTTCAGCAATAGTACAGATGTCATCACAAATAATAGAAGTATCGTCCGTATATCGCTTATACATATATGGGAAACTCGAGATAATTACTTTCAATAGACCATTCCCTAAGCTTGACATGAAGATATCCACTAAGAGAGGTCCTAGAAAGGTCCTAAACCCATGAACTTTTTATCTATATTATTCCAAAGTAAACTCTATTCACTTCCCACATACAAATAACAATCCACAAAAAAAGAGGCACTTACAGTCAGTCTTCTGAAATTCGTTAAAGCTGTTTTAATTCTATCCACATAGTTATTTCTAAATATATGAGAAATATATGTGTGATTGAATTTAAGTGTATATACATTATTATTTCACAAATGAGACTGGTCTATGCAGAGAAAAAGCATTTTGGTTGGGTGGTGACAATGATTTGTTACAAAGTAATTACTTAAATAGAGAAACACATACTTTGTTGATTATTTACAATCACAAATGATTAATGAGAGGAGTACTGCCTTCTTCGTATATACATATATATTACGTAATAACTATCATCAAAAATGTTGAGAACTAAAAGCAGTACCGTTTTTCTTTTCCATTAGAACCCTAATTACATATTTTTGTTTACCACGACAACAATGATGTGACTCAAAATCCTTCTTCGCTTTCTTCGCTTTCTTTCTTTCTTTCTTGTTTAATGAAATGTTTTGATAATGTTTTGAAACAATACATATTGTATTTTTATAAATGCGTAGAAGATGAAAATCGGCTAATTTTAGTAACTTGAGTAAATCATGTCTAGTTAGCTCACATGTTCATCAAAATTCTCTGCTAGTGGTAAAAGATCGAGTGTTTAAAGTGTGAATTTTTGGTTTCTAGGAAAAAGAAACATTCCAAAAAAACTAACTTTTCACTTGAATTTAAACGGTCGTTTTGTTTTGTAATTATTAGGGAATATTTAAACAGTCAAAAGTCGACAGAAAGCCTTCTCATGTTAACTCCAGGTGTGTATACAAATTTACGTGTATCTGCGGGAGCAGTTACATTGGGAGAACAGAAAGAAGGGAGCACCTCCGATTTTCTGAACATGTGCCGAAAAGCCTAAGTGTCAAGGGGAGAAACACTTTTACCAGGAATCTCCTCAGGTCATAAGGTGGAAATCGCGAAGTCCTTTAAAATTATCAATAGACAAAGGAGCTCAATTCTCCTCAAATTTGCCAAAGCAACCAGATTCATATGTTCAGTTTTTCGTTGCTCTGGTAACTGGATGTCTTTATTCTCTCTTTCATTTGATTATGTAATCTTTGGCTTTAAACTTACCTCCTTTTATAATTTGTAATTATGCTTGTCTCTTGTTTCTTTGATTTGAGTTGAACTCAGTACATTATTACCTAATTTATTAGTCACTTATCATCGTGCGCATCTCTCGTCTTTATTACATAACTCCTCTACCAGTGTACATACATTTATATTGTTTAAACTTGAAGTGCATATGTAGAAACTATATAAGTGTAATTTTCTGAGCAGTGTTCATCAATTGCGGAACCATCTGTCCAAGGTCCAAGGCTTCCTGCCGATTGCCTCCAACCATCTAATACCAAAAATTCACAGTGCACCGTAATGGCGAGCCACCTAGCATGGTGGCCACATTGCAAACATGACTGGTAGAATTCAGTCTGCACCGAAGATAGGACTAGACGCATTACACTAGTTACTGACTAGTGTGCAATCAAAAATAGACTTAAAATTAATTGGCACTATCTCCTCATAAGACTACTATATGCTTTTATTTGGTTGATGGCTGCTGAGTGTGGGGTCGTCGATGCAAGATAAGTCATGCTTTGAACTTATCAGATGGACTTACTTGAATCCAAAGTAATTGATGTTGTTCCTACTGAGATTGAAGCTCAAATTACTGTTTATAACGAGAGTCAGTTATTAATATTTTTTGTAATGCTTTGTAATGCATTCATTCTTTTTTGGATGCGTCAATTTTATCTCTCCTCTTCTCTACTACTACTCAAACATTAAAGTATGTTATTATCATTTATATAACCATTGTAATTTCAGGTAGTCTGCAGCTGATGAGAACCTGTGAAATAGAATGATATCATTTTATACTGCAAATTTCGTCTTCCTTTCTTTATCGAAATTTATCAAGGGAACCAGTTGTATGAAGTTCTTGAAAAGACGCCTCCCTGCCAAAACTATTAAGTCACTGAATCAGGTGGTGACCATACGATGCAGAATATCTAGAGAATCAACAAAGATCAGGTTCTATGAACAGTGTTTGCAAACAGGTTGTTTCCCACGGCAGTTCTTGAAACAAGTGCGATCGGCTAAACTCCCACCTTCCCAAAAGAATCTCCGTCGAATAACAAAATCTCACATCGAATCTTCATACCAGTACCTCTCCGAATTGAAATCTCGTCTGGCTACCTATGATACCCTACTAAGCGAGCTTAATATTATTTGCTGGCTAAAATTCATGAATTTCATCAAAGAGCTACAATCAAAAACATCCCAGGATTATGAAACTCAGCTGACAAAAGCGTTGGTGAAAGAGAAGCTAATCGAAGAATTCCCAGAATCACCTGAACGCTACGTCTGTAATCTATCAACATTACAATTAAACAAAATCGAATTAGAAGCCTTATCTCTGGGATTCAAGTTTCACGTCCCCAAGAAGCAGATCAGTCGTATAGATACAGAAGCACAATTCGAACACTTATACCATCAACTCCACGACCTGAAACCCTTAGACGAAGACAAAAGAGGATGGCTAAAGTCTAAACTTGTTGATATTGCTAACCAATACCACACATCGCCAATGAAGAAGCAGAAGATGCTGACCGAAGAGCATAGAATAGCTCTGAAGAAACTATATGAGAACGATGAAATCGTCATATTTAGACCTGATAAAGGCTCTGGGGTTGTTATAATGAACAAAGCTGATTATATTCATAAAATGATGACAATTCTAAACGACAAAGAAAAATTCCAAGTAGACAACAAAAAAGATGCCACAACGTCGTTTGAAAATAAAGTAAATAAATGTCTCAAAGAACTTCTAATGAAGAAACTAATCAACAGCGAAACATACAATAAACTGAAGTCAAAAGGTGGACGCCTGCCGTCTATGTACGGCCTACCAAAAATCCATAAAGCAAACGTGCCTTTAAGACCAATCTTGTCAATGATTGACTCACCATGCCACAAGTTAGCTCGATGGTTAGCTGATTCCATAGAGCCAATTCGAATTAAATTTGCAACCCATAGCCTGAAGGATAGCTACCAATTCTCCAAGGAAGTTGACAACATCGACATATCAGACAAACTCATGGTATCGTATGACGTGACCTCCTTGTTCACAAACGTACCACTGATGGAAACGATTGATATTATTTGTAAACAAACGGATCTACTACCGTTACCGGAAACAGAGATGAAGCGACTACTGCTGCTCTGCACAAAAGATATACAATTCAAATTCAACAATCAACTCTACCGACAAATTGATGGGGTCGCTATGGGTTCACCTCTGGGACCTATCCTAGCTGATATCTTCATGGGCTACCTTGAACAGACACAACTAAGTTCTGCTATCAATGGAACAACCTACTATCGCCGATATGTTGATGACACATTTGTTGTTTGCAACGACATGGATCACGCATCGGCATTATATGATCGCCTAAATGAGATTCATCCAAATATCAAGTTCACCATGGAATATGAACATAAAAATGAGTTCAATTTCCTGGATCTAAATGTAAAAAGAACAAACGAAGGCATGATTGAAAAATCCATCTATAGAAAAGAAACCTGGACTGGACAATATCTTCACTATAACAGCTTTTGTCCCATAAGCTATAAACGTGGATTAGTGAGGACTTTGTACGACAGAGCCAGGAAGCTATGTTCACCAAACAAGGTCGAAGAAGAACTAGATTTCGTCGAGAAATGCCTGAGGGAAAACGGATACCCTAAAGGATTTATACAGAAGTATAGCAAAGAAAATGATAAGAAAGAAAAGCATCCAACTGTAGAAAAGAAAAAAGTGTTTATTTGTCTCCCATTCAAAGGAGATGCAGTTTCACAAAAGATTGACAGAAGACTGAAAGGAGCAATAAATAGAAGCTTCCCGGCAGCAAAACTCATAACAGTATACAACACCACTCCTTCCATGATCCACTCAAAACTGGATAAATACCCTGCTGATGTCACCTCCAACTGCGTTTATGAATTTACGTGCACTTGCGGGAGCAAGTACATTGGAAGGACAGAAAGAAGGGCTTCTATCCGGTTTTCTGAACATATTCCAAGAAACCTATGCCTGAAAGGAAGCAAATATTCTCAGAGTGCAATTACCAGACATATTGTTGATACAGGACATCTCGTAGAGATTTCTAAGTCCTTTAGAATATTAAATAGACAAAGGACAACAAATTTACTACGATTTGCCGAAGCGATCGCAATCAAACGATTTAAACCAGACTTATGCATACAGAAAGAGAGTGTGATTAACCTCTCACTCCCTTGGTAACTGAATTTTGATTCCAATTAGTCATCTAACTCAGTGATCTCAACTCACTGAGCAAATCTCAATCTTATAAACTGTAATTGCTTTTGTTTTTTGGAGTTGCCATGTGAACCTACAAGCAAACACTGTTTCTGTTAGTCAATTTTTCTGTTTTCTGTCTTACCCCTCCCCCCTCTTTTCAACTCTGAAAGTGTATAAATTGATGATGATAACTTCAACTAAAAATTGTAATGCTTTCATTCTTTTTTGGATGCGTCAATTTTATCTCTTCTCTACTACTACTCAAACATTAAAGTATGTTATTATCATTTATATAACCATTGTAATTTCAGGTAGTCTGCAGCTGATGAGAACCTGTGAAATAGAATGATATCATTTTATACTGCAAATTTCGTCTTCCTTTCTTTATCGAAATTTATCAAGGGAACCAGTTGTATGAAGTTCTTGAAAAGACGCCTCCCTGCCAAAACTATTAAGTCACTGAATCAGGTGGTGACCATACGATGCAGAATATCTAGAGAATCAACAAAGATCAGGTTCTATGAACAGTGTTTGCAAACAGGTTGTTTCCCACGGCAGTTCTTGAAACAAGTGCGATCGGCTAAACTCCCACCTTCCCAAAAGAATCTCCGTCGAATAACAAAATCTCACATCGAATCTTCATACCAGTACCTCTCCGAATTGAAATCTCGTCTGGCTACCTATGATACCCTACTAAGCGAGCTTAATATTATTTGCTGGCTAAAATTCATGAATTTCATCAAAGAGCTACAATCAAAAACATCCCAGGATTATGAAACTCAGCTGACAAAAGCGTTGGTGAAAGAGAAGCTAATCGAAGAATTCCCAGAATCACCTGAACGCTACGT